CAGCCCTCCCCAGGAAAGTGGTCCTTTACCCACCATGGGAAGCCATCATCCTGCCCATGGGGACCAATGAGGGTGGGGGGCTGTGCTGGTCTTCCCAGCAGCGGAGCTCGGCCACTGTCAGGGAGGGAGGGGCTGGGAGCCCAGCCAGATTTTCTCCACAGCCCCAAGCAGCTCTGAGACCCCATGCTGTAAAGTGCAAGCTACTTCCTTTTTTTTTTTTTTTTTTTTTTTTTTTTTCAGGAAGAGTTAGACAGTGGGAGAGAGAGACAGAGAGAAAGGTCTTCCTTCTGTTGGTTCACTCCCCAAATGGCCGCCACGGCCGGCGCTGCACCGATCCGAAGCCAGAAGCCAGGTGCTTCCTCCTGGTCTCCCATGCGGGTGCAGGGTCCAAGCACTCGGGCCATCCTCCACTGCCTTCCAGGGCCAAGCAAAGAGCTGGACTGGAAGAGGAGCAACCGGGACAGAATCCGGCGCCCCAACCGGGACTAGAACCTGGGGTGCCGGTGCCATAGGCAGAGGATTAGCCTAGTGAGTCGTGGCGCTGGCCAATGCAAGCTATTTCCTGTCAGGAGAGCTATAACCCTAAAACCTTGAAAACTGGTCTTTTGGGAAATACTCTAAAATGTGGTTGACAGTACAGGCAGTCAGCCACCATGACATGGAAATCTAAACACCTCGGCCGCAGGGATGCGGCAAAGAGCAATGCCCTGGGCCGGCGCCGCGGCTCTCTAGGCTAATCCTCCACCTTGCGGTGCCGGCACACCGGGTTCGAGTCCCGGTCAGGGTGCCGGATTCTGTCCTGGTTGCCCCTCTTCCAGGCCAGCTCTCTGCTGTGGCCAGGGAGTGCAGTGGAGGATGGCCCAAGTACTTGGGCCCTGTACCCCATGGGAGACCAGGAGAAGCACCTGGCTCCTGCCATTGGATCAGCGCGATGCGCCGGCCACAGCGCGCCAGCTGCGGCGGCCATTGGAGGGTGAACCAACGGCAAAGGAAGACCTTTCTCTCTGTCTCTCTCTCACTGTCCACTCTGCCTGTCAAAAAAAAAAAAAAAAGAAGAAGAAGAGCAATGCCCTGAAGGGGCAGAGCCCAGGGAGGGAAGTGGAGGACCCTGCATCAGCACCGGAGGAACCAGCATGGCTGAGCAGGGTGCCTTGGGGGAAGTTAGGACACGCGGGGTAACGCTGGCCGGCCCCAGGAGAGGGGGAGACGGAGGCTTCCCACCCACCCAGGAAAGGCTCCCCTTGTGGCTCCTGTGGGAGTCAACACGCTGCTTTGGATGGGACACCCGCATCCTGTATCAGGTGCGTGGCTTCCAGCCCCAGCTACACTCTCTTCTCCAGCTTCCCGCCAATGCACACCCTGTGGGCATGGATGAAGTCCTCGGGCTCCTGACAGCCACGTGGAGGCCCAAACGGAGTTCCCAGCTCCTGGCTTTGGACATGGCCCAGCCATGGCTATTGAAGGTTGCAGGCATTTGAGGAGGAAATCAGTGGATGAGTGACCTCTCTCTCTCTCTCCCTGATAAATATGTTTTTAAAATCAAGTAAAAGACATTTATAAGATTGCCTATTGATTAAAAAAAAGAACTCGGCGGGGGGGGGGGGGGGGGGGGCGGTGCTGTGGTGCAGTGGGTTAACGCCCTGGCCTGAAGTGCCAGCATTCCATAGAGCGTTGGTTAGAGACCTGGCTGCTCCACTTCCAATCCAGCTCTCTGCTGTGGCCTGGGATAGCAGTGAAAGATGGCCCAAGTCCTTGGGACCCTGCATCTGCATGGGAAACCCAGAGGAAGCTCCTGGCTCCTGGCTTCGGATCAGCACAGCTCCAGCTGTTGCGGTCAGTTGGGAAGTTAACCATCGGATGGAAGACTTCTCTCTCTCTCTCTTTCTCTCTCTCTGTAACTCTGAATTTCAAATAAAATAAATAAATCTTAAAAATTAATTAATTAATTAATTAAAAAATAAAAAAAATAACTCGGGCCTCGCCTGGCCCAATGCTGATGTACTGAGCCATGCCCAGCTGTTCCAGTAGCCAGACTGTGCTGCCTCTAGGACCCCTCCCATTCACCCAGACCCATCTAGTCTCAGCCAAATCTCTTCTCGGCACCTCCTCTCCAAACACAGGCTTGAGTCTCTGGGGTGCAGCAGGAAAAAAAAATGAAACACCTGCTCAATAGAGGGTGCTGAGACCCAGCAGAGGGCCCCAGGCAAGCAGAACTGTCCTGTGTCTTCCAGAGCACCCATCGTCATCCGGGCGAGTGTTCACACACACCACAAGCTGCCCAAAAACCGTGACTGGGAACAACCAGGGGAAGAGACATCCCCAAGTCCTGGGCACAGGGTGACCCGGAGCTGCCTGGGAAGCATAAGAAGGGGGTGCTGATGATCCCAAAGGAACCAGCCTAGGTGTCAACTGGGTCCTCCCGAAGGCAGGCCCAAGAAGGAGTTAGAAGCCTAAGAGGGGGGCTGGTGCTGTGGCATAGCAGGTAAAGCCACCATCTGCAGTGACGGCATCCCATATGGGCATCAGTTCAAGACCCGGCTGCTCCAGTTCTGACCCAGCTCTCTGCTATGGCCTGGGAAAGCAGTAGAAGATGGCCCAAGTCCTTGGGCCCCTGCACCCACCTGGGAGACCCAGAAGAAGCTCCTGGCTCCTGGCTTCAGATCAGTGAAGCTCCAGCTGTTGGGACCAATTGGGGAAGAGTGCTCTCTCTCCTCTTTCTCTCTCTGCCTCTCCTTCTCTCTATGTGTGTAATTCTACCTTTCAAATAAATAAATCTTTAAAAAAAAAAAAAAGAAGTCTAAGAGGGCCGTTGGGGGTATTGCCTCAGGAAGATGGCAGGGAAGCTGGGGGGAGCAGGATTGGCCAGAAGAAAGATCTGGAACAGAGATGGGGAACCTTTTCCCTGCCAAGGGCTATTTGGATATTTAGAACACCATCTGCAGGCCGTACAAAATTGTCAACTTAAAAATTAGCCTGCTACAGATTCAGTGGATTCTGAGTCCCACCTGCAGCTGCCTTGGTGGGACCAGACCCAGGGAGTTTGGGGGCCTAATATAGTACAAGGGCCAGACCCTCCCGTACCTGATCCATCACAAGATGCAGGTCTGACACCTGTGGGCACAGGGAAGGAAGAAGAAAAGCTCTGAGAGTCTCGAGCAGCCCAGCAGAGACCCCAGCATCGGGGGTCCCAGCTGGGCAAGAATGGTGAGCCCCCTCCCTCCCCCAGGGCTCAGGGACGGTCTGAAGCTTCCAGGGAAGCACGAGGCTGTGGACTGAACGCCGGGCGGAGCCCATGGGCACGGCAGCCGGAGGTAGTCGGCCACCAGCACTGCCTGCAGCAGACACCTGGCTCTCTAACAGGGTGGTCGGGGCAGAGTCCGCCCAGAGCTGCCAAGGGCAGACTAGGAGGAAGGGGGGAGGATGTTTCCTTAGTCAGAGGGAAAAGAAAATGTGGAAGGGACAGTACAAGCAAAGGCCCAGAGGCGGACTGCACAAGAACGATTTGGGAACCTGTGAGAAAGCCCACGTGTGTATCACGGGCAGCACCCTGGGAAAGCTGAGGGCCAGCCCAGTGCGTCAAGGTGGCTTTGGCCTCGGCTGACAGTTTCTGGGAGAGCCAAGGCGTGCTCTGGGAGGTATCTGGCAGCGGCATGGAGCCCAGATGGAGTCAGGCTACAGGAACAGCCTGTGGCCTGTGGTGTGGCCAAGACGTGCTGAGGACATGGGCATCTCACGTTGGCTGTCGCCTGGGGGTTCGGCCTGAGCACAGGCCTCCTGTCTGTCTCCTCTGTCCTGAGAGAGGGCAGCACACCACCGGTGTCTGGAAGCAGGCTCCTCTGTTCCACCCTCCACCCTCCACCCTGGGGGACCCCACCTTGTTGGTGTGACCCCAGAGTTCTCAGCACAACCTGTTCCATCCAATCTGCCTGCCACCCCCCGCCCCGCCCCAGGCCCAACCCAATCGTATCCTCTACTGTTTTCCAAAGGAGTCTGGCCAACACAAATCCACATGTTTATTTGTCTGCCTGTCTGCCTCTCCCAGCCGCCACCTCTCCCAGTCTCTCGGCTTCCGTTTCTTTCACGCAGTTTCTCTTCGTCTCTGAGGTCTCAAATCCACAAAGCTCAAACCCCTGTAGACCCAGATGCCCAGCTCATGTCCTTTATTCAGCCCTCAGATGGCACAAAACTACAAACCCCAGCATGCACTACCACGTGCAGTGCCTGAAGAGTGTTAATAGGCCTCACCTGCATTCTGGGAATTGTAGTTTCCCCAGCTTCCACACGCTGCCCAGTGTCGAGCTCTCTCCACCATGGGCAGTTCTAGCCTCTACCCGATTGCCCCGTCTCTGCTGACTTGCCACCCCAGGGAAGCATGCGTCATTGAATGACAGGCTGGGGGTGGAGGCCCTGGATGGCAGCTTCCTGCTCTTTTGTGTCCCCCACTTGAGTCATGAGGGGGTTGGGCGGGGGTTCCAGGAAATTGAGGTTGGGAGGGGAAGGGATCCCCTAATGTAACACACAAGGACAAAAGGTCACTGGATCCTTGCTGGGCCTGTATTCCCGAGAAACCACAAGTGGGAGACTGGTGAAAGAGAGAGCCGGGGGTGACCCTAGAGGTCCCTCGTGCTCACTAAGGGAGTGGGGCTCCAACACCCTTGCCACGACGCAATGCTCACCTTCCACCTGCCCTTCAGGGAAAAGCTGGCAGGGGTAGGTCCAGGGCCTGCTCTGACTATGCAAGGGTCTTTCTGACCTCCAGTTGTCCCGCCTGCCCGCCTGTCCCAGCCACTGTGCCCCAGCTCCTGCACTCCAGCCCCAGGGCCAGCGGGACACCTGGGTTCCCACTTATCAGCCCTGGCCCTCCTGGCGGAACCCAGACGTCCGGCCCCCCACCCTCTGGGCCAGCGGGCGGGCGTGGAGCCGAGGCTTTAGAGCCTCCCGGCCAGCCTTGTTCCTGTCCCATTGTGTATGGGACAGGGGCGGGGCGAGGGCCAGCTCCAGAGAGCCCCCTCCCACTGTCCCCTCCCCTCGGCCCCCCTCCCCACTTCCTAAGGAAAAGGCCGGGGCTCTGCTGGAGGGAGCCACAGAGTTGAGGCGCGCTGACATGGGCAACTTGAAGAGTGTGGGCCAGGAGCCCGGGCCACCCTGTGGCCTGGGGCTGGGGCTGGGCCTCGGGCTGTGCGGCAAGCAGGGCCCAGCCTCCCCAGCACCAGAGCCCAGCCGGGCGCCCGCATCCCCACCCCCAACCCCTCCAGCGCCAGACCACAGGTAAGAGCTGCGTGGGCTGTAGACAGACAGGAGGGCAGTGTCAAGGCCCGAAGCCCAGGGCAGGGACAGCTGGAGCCTGCAGCCCGGCCAGGAGGGCCAGGTGGCCAACCCGAAAGGGCTATCAGTGGGGACAGAACAGACGGAGAGGCTCAGAAATGAGGCCAAGATGAGGACAGGCCAGGATCAGGACAGGTGAATGAGGGGGCACTGGTGCTGGCTAGAGTCAGGCCAGGGTTTGAATGCTGCTCTGCCACCAAAGGCTGTTAGACTTCAAGCAGGTTGCTTAGCCTCTCCCAGCCCCCATTTATGTAAAAATGGTAATTCTGACCCCACAAGGCTGTGAGTTTTTAGCACAGGGCAAGCTTTCAACAAAGAGCACTGCTGATTATTTCTCTGGAGAAGAAAGGGGCCGGGGAGGGGTCGTCCCAGGAGGGTGAAAAAGTGGGGTGGTATGGGAGAGGGAGCCAGGCCAGGAAACCTTTAGGTGAGGGGCTGGGAAGACAGAGCCACCGGGCTCTTTTCCCCTGCTCCAGGCCCCAGCATCCTGGTGGCCGTCAGCCCCAAACTGGATCCTGCCGCCTCAGTCTGCAGAGTAGGAGCGTCCTCCCTGGACCAAAACTCCCTGGAGAGAGGAAGACTGAGGGGCCTGGTGGGGGGCCAAGCAGGCAGCTGGGCTCCAGGGCAGGGCTGAGGGCCCGGGCCCTGCGGCTCAGGCGCACCCGCGGCCCGAGTCCCTCCCTTCCTCCCACAACTGGCCGTAGGCTCTGGGAGGAAATGATAAGGACTGGAAGCCTTCCCTTCACACGATGGCTACTGTCAGGAGGGGGTGCGAGTGGGAGAGAAATCAGGACCAAGGACTCCCTCTTGGGGCCTCCCTCCCCTCGGGCGTGCCGGGCTCCATCCCCCTGGAGGCAGATAGGGCTTGAGGACACCAGCGTTGGGCCATTTCTGTTGCTATTACAAAGTCCCCGAGACTTGGGGCTTTATAAATAATAGAGGTTTATTTTGGCCTGAGGTTGTGGAGCCGGTGTCTAGTGATGACTTTCTTGCTGTGTCATAACAAGGCATTGGTGACCCAGAGCAAGCTGGCCAGAGAGAGCCCACTTTGATACCAAAGCCACTCGTGCAATAACCCATTAACCTGTGCATGGTTAATTCATCCACGAGAGCAGAGCCCTCGTAACCCGGTCACCTCCCCCAAAACCCTACCACTCATCACGCCAGCACTTGGGACAGGAAACCTGGGGGTACATTCAAGCCCAGGTAGCACTCCGTCTCCAGAGGAAGGCAGGTGGGCAGCCCCAGGCTTGGCCAAGCCACCAGAGGCCGGACACAGGGATCAGGCCAACGGGCGCCAGCTGTGCACTCTCTGGCAGAAGCTGTGACTTTTCCAAGCCTTGGATCCTTTTATCTGTACTGGGAGTGGGGGTGCACCATTGCCTCCCTCCTAAAATGGTTGTGAGAGACGACAAAAAAAAAAAAAAAAAAGGTAAGGTAGCATTTTGCAGACAAATGATAAGCCAGCGAGAACCATTATACTGTAGGAAGGGCCCTGGGCTACCTCTAGGGAGGCCAAAGGGAAACAAATCTCTCTCCCACAGCCCCAAACCTAGCTCCAACAGTCCTCCGCTAACTCGGCCCCCGGAGGGGCCGAAGTTCCCTCGAGTGAAGAACTGGGAGGTGGGCAGCATCACCTACGACACCCTCAGTGCCCAGGCACAGCAGGTGAGCCCGGGCCCCATCCCACGTCTGGGGGGGTGAGGTGGGAGAAGCCGGCTGAAACTGGTCTCGGGTGGGAGCCAAGCAAGGAAGCTGCACCTTGCTCCAAATCAGCCCCTGGTTTCCAAAAACAGGTGAGGAAAGAACTAGGAAGAACCGAACAGCTGCAGGGCATGCAAGGGGCTTGGGGGGCCCTCTGCCTCTGGCTTTCACCCCAACTCCTGGCTCAAGTTCTGCCCTAAGCCAACTCAGCCTCATCACCATGTCCAGACTCATAACCTCCCTGGACCCATCCTCCCTCCAAACCCCAATTCCTGCCTCCAAGCCCCCTCCCCCCTTGACTTGATGCTGACCTTTATGCTTCCTGCTCCCCTGGCCCAGGACGGGCCTTGCACCCAAAGACGCTGCCTGGGCTCCCTTGTGTTTCCCCGGAAACTGCAGAGCCGGCCCACCCAGGGCGCTCCACCCCCTGAACAGCTGCTGGTTCAGGCCAGGGACTTCATCAACCAGTACTACAGCTCCATCAAGAGGTGAGGCCTCCGCTGACACCCACAGCCCTCCTCGTCCCACTGAAGCCCTAGAAACATGTGGTTGCCCTCCCCACGCCCCTCTCCCTCCCCAGTCCCCACAGGGCCCCCTCTCCCAGCATTCACAGTGCCTGCCTGGCCCACCTTCTCATCCTGTCCTCCCCAGGAGCGGCTCCCAGGCCCATGAGCAACGGCTTCAGGAAGTGGAGGCCGAGGTGGCAGCCACAGGCACCTACCAGCTTCGGGAAAATGAACTGGTCTTTGGGGCCAAGCAGGCCTGGCGCAACGCTCCCCGCTGTGTGGGCCGGATCCAGTGGGGGAAGCTGCAGGTGTGGCCAGCGGGCGCGTGTCCAGGACAGGGCACAGGGACCAACAGGGGAGGGGGTCGGGTAGCTCCTGAGGCTTCCTGGAGGGAAGGGGGTGGTCCTGAACAGCGGGGACGGCCCCTGCCTGTTCTCTTAGAGACTGGAAAGCGAAGGGGATCAGCCCCATCCCCGGCGCCCCTGGGGAGCCCTCAGCCCAGTAGCTAACATCTGGTGAGTAAGTCCCAGCAGTGCCTGGGCTGGAAGAGGAGAAAAATCTAGAACCACAGAGTGGAGGAAGGCAGCTGAGCGGGATCCCTGGGTGTCGCTGAGGAGCAGGGGCACCTCTGGGTGGCTGCTTCTCCCAGCCCAGTGTTGGTGCCACACCCCCGCTGCTCCCTCCCAGCTCCGCACCACCTCAGCCCCACCATCCTCCACAACTGGCCTACACACTCTGTGCTAGTCCAGATTCCGGGAGCGGCCTGTGGCCCTGGCACGAAGGAAGCGAGTGACCCACGGAGGAACTGACTTCATGGCCTGGGGACTCTTAGCTGTAACTGGCCACCAAAGAATTTGGAATAAGGCCACGTGCTCAGCAAACCCCAAAGGAGTCTCCAATAAAGTAACAGCCATCCTGGCTGACCTTGGCCAACCCTTCAAGTTGTTCAAAGCTTCAGCTCAACTTTGAACGTGTTTGAGCCTCTGTAATGAGCCTCACTTGCTGCTGTGTGCCTTGCTTGGCCACCACCACCACCCCTGAGCCCGGAGCAGGCACGGGACCTCCCAACCTTCCCCAGGGGGCCTCTTCTCATCCTAACATTAGAAGCTGGGCTTGACAGGGTCCCTGGAGGCCAGCCCAATAGCAGTGCTCAAGGACAGCCCGACTCCGACTGGCGCCACCTGCCTTTGCTTGAGCACATGGGTAACACGTAATTCGCCTCTCTGGCAGCCGAAGCCCTTCCCCAAGCATCGGGAGCGACTGGGCCCCTCTCTGTACCAGATAGCGAGTCAGCTTCTACAGGAGTGAGGAGGAACCTGCCCCAGCAGGGACACAGGGCAGGAAGGGGGCCTCATGGAGGCAGATGGCCGGCTAGGAGCCCCTGAGAAGAAAGAGCCATGGTGCACAGCGAGTGGCTCCCCCAGCCCCGGCCTCCTTCCCAGCAAGCCACACACCGAGACCCCTTTGGGCTGGAACTCAAAACCACACCCTTCACCTTCCCCCTACCTCGGTGCACTCAGGTCTTCGATGCCCGGGACTGCAGGTCTGCACAGGAAATGTTCACCTACATCTGCAACCACATCAAGTATGCCACCAACCGGGGCAACCTTCGGTGAGTGCCCTCCCCTGCACTGCGCCGGACCCCAGGCAGCAGTGAAGGAGGCGCTCTGACCGGCTGTCCCCTCTCCCCGCCCCCTCCACTTCAGTTCAGCCATCACAGTGTTCCCCCAGCGCGGCCCGGGCCGCGGAGACTTCCGGATCTGGAACAGCCAGCTGGTGCGCTATGCGGGCTACAGACAGCAGGACGGCTCTGTGCGGGGGGACCCAGCCAACGTGGAGATCACCGAGGTGGGGAAGCCAGCGGCGTGAGGCATGGGCGTCGGGCCAACGGGTGCAGGCAACGGGAAGAGGGCATTTCTGGTTGAGATGAGGATGGGAGGTGCCCAGGAAGGGGTTTCCAGGGTGGGCACGGGCACCCACCACTGCCTCGCTCCCCACAGCTCTGCATCCAGCACGGCTGGACCCCAGGAAACGGGCGCTTCGATGTGCTGCCCCTGCTGCTTCAGGTCCCGGACGAGCCCCCAGAACTCTTCACTCTGCCCCCTGAGTTGGTCCTGGAGGTGTCCCTGGAGCACCCCACGTGAGCACAAAAGGGTGGGGTGGCGGTGGCAGTGCCGGAGCCCCTTGAGGAGGGGCTGTGGTGTGGAAGGGCCCTGGTGCAGGCCCCACAGGCTGCTGACCCCACGCCCTGCACCCCCAGGCTGGAGTGGTTCGCGGCCCTGGGTCTTCGCTGGTATGCCCTCCCGGCAGTGTCCAACATGCTGCTGGAAATCGGGGGGCTAGAGTTCCCTGCAGCCCCTTTCAGCGGCTGGTACATGAGCACGGAGATCGGCACACGGAACCTGTGTGACCCTCACCGCTACAACATCCTGGAGGTGAGAGCCACGCCCCTCGGGCCTGCAGCCTGACCCTCCCTGGGATCTGCAGAACGCCAGCCGCCCGGAATCTGAGGCTCCCGGCTCCAGGGCTGCTGCTTCAGACAGACCTGAAGACAAAGCTCTGGCGCCACGGAGGCCCAGGCGCGCAAGCGTATGTGTGTGTGTGTGTGTGTGTGTGTGTGCGCGCGTGCGTGTCCAAGATTAGGATCTATAGCTTTCAGCAAATTCTCAGAGGTTTTGACTCAAAAGAGGTAAAGACTCATTTTAGAGATGAGAAACGCAGGTGCAGGACTAAAAGGCAATGCCCCAAGTCCTGTTTCCTGTTTGGGATGCCTTTGCAGGCAAAAACCTGACCCAGCCCCACATGAGGTGGGCGGGCCTCCCCACAGCACCCGCCAGCCTCACTCCCCTCAGCCTCTGTCCCTACCTATACCATGAGCACCCTTCCCCAGGATGTGGCCGTCTGCATGGACTTGGATACCCGGACAACGTCATCCCTGTGGAAAGACAAGGCGGCGGTGGAGATTAACTTGGCTGTGCTGCACAGTTACCAGGTGCAAAGGCTGGACTGGCCGGGAGGGCCCGGAGCTGGAGTGGGTAGGAGAGAGGGAGGCACTTAGAAACCGCTGCAGGATTTGGACAGGTGCCCCAACAAGTTCCACAGCCCAAGTGCCATGGGGCACACTGGGCCTGCAGATCTGGAACTACACTACTTCAGGTGCAGTAAAACCAGGCCTGGTGTGTGCCAGAAACTGATTCCCGGGGCAAAAGCTGTGGCACCACCTGGATTCTGGCAATTCTAACACTAGAGCAGAGAGAATTCTTGGTATGAGGAGTGTAATGCATGCTGGGAACTATAGTTTAAGGAAACTAGTGCCGACTGAGTAGCTCTACGGGTTCTCACGAGTTTAGGATTTGGGGGTTAGGGTGGTAATGCATATGGATACCTGAGATCAGGACTGCTCTGGCACGTTGAACTTGGTGCACGCCCATGCAGGCTGCAGTTTGGGGGATGACACTGTAGTGTCAGAGGACACAGTATATGTTATACTTGAGCGACCCGGAGTGCAGTATGCTTTCGGGTGACAGAAGGTAGAACGGGCAGACTCTCTGGGCCACATCTGAGCCGAGCCCCCCTCCCCCACCCCAGCTCGCCAAAGTGACCATTGTGGATCACCACGCTGCCACAGCGTCCTTCATGAAGCACCTGGAGAATGAGCAGAAGGCCAGAGGGGGCTGCCCTGCTGACTGGGCCTGGATCGTGCCCCCCATCTCGGGCAGCCTCACTCCTGTCTTCCATCAAGAGATGGTCAACTATTTCCTGTCCCCTGCCTTCCGCTACCAGGTGCCCACCCCAGCCGGCTCCTGCCCACGTGGGCCCAGTGCTCGCTAGCTAAGCAGCTCCAGGAACCTCTAACCTTTTGTTTTCTTTACTCATCTCCCCCCGCCCCCCAATCACTTCCCTGCAGCCAGACCCCTGGAAGGGGAGTGGAGCCAAGGGCACTGGCATCACCAGGAAGAAGACCTTTAAGGAAGTGGCCAAGTGGGTAACCTAGAATCACCACCCTTCTCCAGTGCGCACCCTGGGGGAACCCAGCCCAGCAGCGGCCTAGGCCCACCACCCCAAAACTTTGCTGTGATGGGGTTTGGACCCCTGCCCAGGGAGGCCCCCTAACCCGGTGCACCTGGGGAGGTCCCACCTCTGTGCACCTGGGATGCCCTCACCCAATCCTCGCCTGCAGTGCAGTGAAGATCTCTGCCTCACTCATGGGCACAGTGATGGCAAAGAGAGTGAAGGCCACAATCCTGTACGGCTCCGAGACTGGCCGGGCCCAGAGCTACGCGCAGCAGCTGGGGAGGCTCTTCCGGAAGGCGTTCGACCCCCGGGTAGGGCTGAGCCCACAGGGGCAGAGACCTGGAGAGGGGCGGGGGTCTGTCAGCACCTTCAGAGGTGCCCGGGAGAACCGGAGAGGGTCACAGGTGAGGACTCAGAAAGAACCTTGGAATCCACAGGGATTTCAGGAATGGAGTCCAGCCTGAGGGAGGAGGCCCAGGCAGCAGGTGCCAAGACTCCCCAAGGACACCTGTCTTCTCCTTGCCCACAGGTTCTGTGCATGGACGAGTATGATGTGGTGTCCCTCGAACACGAGACGCTGGTGTTGGTGGTGACCAGCACATTTGGGAATGGAGATCCACCAGAGAACGGAGAGGTGAGGCCTGGGAGGACAGGGCCCCTGTGAAGGGGCCCAACACTGGGGTGGCTGGACAGGACCCCCCACACAATCCAGGACGGAAAGGGAGATGTTGAGAGGACCACAGAATGGGAGTGCACCTGCTGCTGGGGCCCTCAGCCTGCACGAGCCACAGTCCAGGCTCACCTATATGGCTGCCCACAGACACAGCCCTGCTTAACTGGGTGCCCCTCGGTCACTTCTGTTAACAGAACAAGTTTTTAATATGAGGAAGGCACTTCCCAGCTGGCCAGAGAGGTTAGGCTGTTCCAGGAGTTGACAAATGAAAAGAGCAGAGAGACTCCACTTAATACACAATGTTGGTTATTTTTTCATTTCTTTTCTTTTTATTTGAGATAGAGAAAAAGAGAGAGGGCAACAGACAGAAAGAGGGAGAGAGATCCCATCTGCAGGGTCACTCCCCAAATGCTCATTAAGAGTCATGTCGAGCCAGGAGCTGGAACTCAGTCCCTACTGCCCCCCTCTCTCCTCAGCACAACTGTCTAGATGCCAACACAGATTAGGTAACTTCACTTGTTCAACACAAAACTATACCGCCACCACTGGACGTGTATTGGTAGCCATTATCTTTCAGGCAGAAGCCTCTCTATGCTGCCCCAAGCTATCTTCGTTTCTGGCCTCTTCTCTGCTCTCACTCAAAGGTATCACAAGGCTTATTAGCAGTAAGCACCTTCTGAAGTCAGTCAGTACCCTGCAGCAAGTGCGACACCTGACAGAGGTCTCCTCTTGGCCCCACTGTCCCTTTCAGCCCTCATTCTGATCTGCCTGTTACAGGAAGCCAGCACATCAGTCTCCACATCTGTCCAGCGTCTGGTGGCAGCCTTCTTGCTGCACCACGACATGACAGAGGGCATCACACAGTGAGACAGAGGAAGTCTGCCAGGAAGAGCCCGCCTCAATAATGAAACCACTCCCTGATAACCCATGAAATCTGTGAACGGATTAATCCATTCCTGCAGTGACAGCCCTCATGATCCAATCCCCTCACCACCCCCACAAAGGCCCCACTTCCAAATACCATTAACTTTGGGGATTAAGTTTCCAAAACATTAATTCTGGGGGTCAAACAGTCACATCATAGCAGCACCATCGATCAACCCTTTGATAAGCATAAAAGTAGTGTATACACTCGTGCAAGCCCTAACAATATACAGAGCACTTCCATGGCCCTAGAAGCTTCTCTCCCAATTCCAAGTCATCTCCTCCCCGACTGCCTCCCTACCAGAAGTAACCACTGCTGCGACTAGTTCCACCTGCTCTGTCACATCATAGGAATAGAGGCAGGCAGTATTAAGCTTCTCTCCACCTGTTTTCAAGAGTCACCCGTTGCCGGCGCCGTGGCTCACTAGGCTAATCCTCCGCCTTGCGGCGCCAGCACACCAGGTTCTAGTCCCGGTCAGGGCACCGGATTCTGTCCCGGTTGCCCCTCTTCCAGGACAGCTCTCTGCTGTGGCCTGGGAGTGCAGTGGAGGATGGTCCAAGTGCTTGGGCCCTGCACCCGCATGGGAGACCAGGATAAGCACCTGGCTCCTGCCTTCCGATCCGCGGTGACCACTGGAGGGTGAACCAACGGCAAAGGAAGACCTTTCTCTCTGTCTCTCTCTCTCACTGTCCACTCTGCCTGTCAAAAAAAAAAAAAAAATCCACCCATGCTTTGCATGACTCGCTATTCCATTCCTTTCTACTGCTGAGTAGCGTCCATTGCACGAATATCCCATTTGTTTACCCATTCCCCTGTTGATAGACACTTGGGCTGTTTCCAGCTTGAGGCTATTATGAATAAAGCTGTTGTGAACATTCTTGTACAGGCTTTGTAGCCTTATGTTTTCATTTCTCTTAAATGAATACCGAGGCGTGGAATTTCTTGGTCACAGGCTAGATGCATGCTTAAGTCCTTTCTTCTTTTAAATAAAACTACTGAACAGCCAAACAGACTGCAGTGTACCCGTTAAGATCTGTGCACTTCGATGTCTGTTAGGTTTACCCCCAACTTTTTAAAATGGAGCAAATCTAGGAATACATTTCATGGGAAATGGGATATATTCAAAAAAGATTAAAAGAAAACTCGCAGCGGTATTATAGCTCATAATACCATGAACTGGAAAAAACTCAAACGACTATCAACAATAGACTTAATAAGTAAATCGTGGAAGCTCAAATTCCAATACAGCAATAAGGTGAACAAATTACAACCGCACGCAATACGATGAACCTCACATGTGAAGTAAAGGAAGCCAAGCACAGAAGACATATGAGGGCTCTTCAGAGAGCTTAGCGAAAACGCACATTATGTTTTACTAATTCCATTTTCCACCAACCTTTTGAAGTGTCCTCACACTGCAGGATTCACTTTCCTACAGAGCTTAGTAATAGGCAAAGCTAATCCCTGACGTCAGAAAGCAGAAGCATGGTTAGTCACCCCAGATGAGGTGAGGGGCTGTGGGGACTTGCAGGGGACACACAGGTGAATGCTGGGATGCTGGTAATGTTTGTTTGTTTGTTTGTTTTTTAAGATTTATTCTATTTATTTGAAAGACAGAGTTACAGAGACAGGTAGAAAGAGAGGTCTTCCATCCACTGGTTCACTCCCCAAATGGCTGGAACAGCCAGAGCTGAACTGATCTGAAGCCAGGAGCCAGGAGCTTCTTCTGGGTCTCCCACATGGGTACAGGGGCCCAAGCACTTGAGCCATCTTCCACTGCTTTCCCAGGCCATAGCAGAGAGCTGGATCCGAAATTGAGCAGCCAGGTCTTGAACCAGCATCCATATAGGATGCCAGTGCTGCAGGCTGGGGCTTTAACCCGCTACACCACAGCGCCAGCCCCGGTAATGTTTCCTGATGGAATGCTGCTTGCATAAGGAGGATGTCGGATTTGTGAAAATATGTGTGCTTTTCTGGATATAGGTTACACTGCAATAGATAATTCAAAAATGAAATTCAAGTCATACATGCCAATTATGGTGAACATACAGAACCAGCACTCAAATACCTCCACCGTTAGCATTGGGAGGTTATTTCCTGGTAGCTTTTGTTCTATGGGAAGGTTTGTTTCGTGTCATTCTAAGCTATTTTCATGGCAGCACCAGCAGTGGTGCCTTCTGAGGAGGCTGCCTGACGCCCTCCAGGGACAGCGTCTGCAGAGAGAATGTAAGGCGACCTCCACCCATGAGAACTGGCTGAAGCGTTAGACTGAGCATAGCCAGTTCTGACATGGCTGAGGCAGCGCCACCCCCTGCCCTGCTGCTGTAACCATCATCTGACTACACCATCAGCAGCCCCACTGCAGACCACCCAACTGAGAGACGCAGAAGACACAAGGAGCATGGATAACTGTGTGAGCACTGTGCACAGACCGCCCAGGTCTCTGTCAGTCAGAGGGAAGGCACACGCCACGGTGGACGTGAGTGCCAGACTGTGATGTAGCCATTAGATGAGTGGCGTCGATCTTGATGTGTTGACCTGGAAAGTTCCATGAGAGGTGATTGACAGACACTGGCTAAACCTAGCATGGTCACATTGTTACCGTCTTTAAAAGACCATCAACACAAAAACGGACTGGAGTTCCCTCCTGTAGCACACACACCTCAGATGCTAAGACGGGCAGGGTAGGGTGGCCTTTCTCTTTTACCACTGTAATGTAATTTTTCAAATAGGCCTCTTTTGAAGTGTTCAAAACACATAAAAATTAAGAGTTACAAGTTAATAAGAACCAGCCTGGTGTGGGTTTAGGCTTCTGTATGGTCTGAGATACAATAGAACTAACGGCGATGCAAACACCTCCCCTCCCGGCAGAGTTTTGCAGCAGCCCTGATGGAGATGTCCGGCCCCTACAACAGCTCTCCGCGGCCAGAGCAGCACAAGTGAGTGTGGGCAGGTGGGAGACCGGCAAGGGAGGGGCTCTGAAGAGCTCCCCTCTGTGCCACAGTTGTTTTCCCCATAAGCTGGAGGGCAGAAGGAGGAGGGCTGAGCCCCCATCACAGCCTCAGGGGGCCTTCCCTCCCTGGGATCCTGCCCGCTCCCAGGCCCCAGGATTCTAAGAGGCTGGGACAGCCCTGAGGTCCCTTCCGAGAGGAAAGGGAAGCAGAGCAGCCCCCCCTGCCCCCCACCACCAGCCCTTCCCAAGAGCAGGGCGCGTCCCACCCCAGAGGCAGAGCGCCTCAGATGTGTCTCCCGCTCCCTGTGACACCCCCGTCTTTGCTCTCTCTTACCAGGAGTTACAAAATCCGCTTCAACAGCGTCTCCTGCTCAGACCCGCTGGTGTCTTCTTGGCGGCGGAAGAGGAAGGAGTCCAGTAACACAGACAGTGCAGGGGCTCTAGGCACCCTCAGGTCTGGCCACTCTCATGGGGATCAAGGGGGGCACCCTGGGCGGTCAAGTTGGCTGGGCAGACAGGGGCTGGGTCGGGGGCTCCAATGGCAAATGCCCTGCCTGCCCTCCAGGTTCTGTGTGTTCGGCCTGGGCTCCCGGGCATACCCCCACTTCTGTGCCTTTGCTCGTGCGGTGGACACGCGGCTGGAAGAGCTGGGCGGGGAGCGGCTGCTGCAGCTGGGCCAGGGCGATGAGCTATGCGGCCAGGAGGAGGCCTTCCGCGGCTGGGCCCAGGCTGCCTTCCAGGTGAGCCCCTTTGCCTGTCCCCTACGTCTGGCCCCTCCAGCCTGCCAGCCCCCTTCTGACTCATGCCACAGGCAACACATCCCCTCTGTGCGTTCACTCCCTTCTTTTTAAGTTTTTTTTTTTTTTTAAAGATTTATTTTCTTTATTTGAAAGGCAGAGTTACAAAGAGAGAGAGAGAGGGAGAAACAGGGATTTTCTAACTACTAGTTCACTTCCCAAATGGCTGTAACCACCAGAGCTGGGCCAGGTGGAAGCCAGGCTCCTGGAACCCCATCCAGGTCTCCCACATGGGTGCGGGGGCCCAGGCACTTGGGCCGTCTTCTGCTGCTTTCCCAGGCATATGAGCAGGGAGCTGGACTGGAAGTGAAGCAGCCAGGACTTTGATGGTGCCCATAAGGGATGCCGGAGTGCAGGCAGCAGCTTAACCCCCCGTGCCTTCCCTCCCTACCCCTGCACTACTGAGGACCGAGATGCTCACTGCTGCCCTGACTCTGTCCAGGTTTCTGGTCACTTGCTGCTCCTTCCAAACTCCTCCCTCGTTTCGTCCCTGCACAGCCAGTCCTGTTGTCTCAAGTAGTGGACAATTTGGCCCTGTGAACCACAGAGGTGCCTGGCCCCAGCAGCACAGCTGAAGGGAGCAGGCAGGATTGAGGGTCAGACGGAGGTGAGGGTTGAAGCTGATGCCAGCACAGAAACCCCAAAAATCTGAAGCCAGAGCAGCTGGGGCAGTGCCTGGACGGGAAGGGGTGGTCTGAGGCCAGAGGAGGGTGGAGGGTGCCAGGGCTGTGACTCTCGGAGCCTGCTCTTCCACAGCAGGCAGCTCTGCCTGTCTGGGGATTTTTGCTGGAGTTGAACAGACTCATTCTTGCCAGTGCTGCCTGTCATGCTTCGGCACAGTGCCACCCCCCAGAGCCCAGAGCTGGTTAGGACCGATGGGGAGGAGGAGGAGGGTGTCCCAGGATGCAAGGGGATGGGGAGGGCTGCCTGGTGGAGGGGGCAGGGTCTGCTGGAGAGGGGGCAGTCAAGCTGGAGCAAAAGGTCCAAGGGGGGGTGGAAGATAAGAGTTGAGGAATTTGGACAAAAGGAGCCCCCAGGAGCTTGGGGGTGAGGGGAGACTACAATGTAGTTTCAGGAACACTACAGTGGAGGTGCAGGATCAATCAGAGCAGGACCAAACTAGAAGCAGGAAGAACGAGCCAACAGGGGTGGTAGCAGTGGCGTAAGGAAGGAAGGGAGGGGGCCACGGGAGGAAGGAAGAGATATAAGACTGTGCACACACCACAAAAGAAAGATTAACAGGAGCTGGTGATAGGGGCTCAGCCAATCAGAGATGAGCCCTGGGCTGCACGCCTGGCTCTGGCCTGTTTGCTGGACGTGTGCCTGACCAGAACAGATAGGATGTGCAGCCTCCTGGGAGTCCTGCCCCATGGGACACCCCACCACCACCAGAATCCTGTGTCCCTCTCTTGGAGCACTTGCGAGCTATGCACACTGTGCTAAAGGCTCCACCTGAAGTCTCTCGCTGAGTCCTCACCAGAACCCAGCGAGAAATAAAGATGGGGAAAGTTGGGCTGTGAAATTCAAGTTCAGCAGGCGGGATGTGAATTCAGGGACACAGACGCCTTCACTGAGCTACCAGAAGCCAAGCACCACGCTCTCTGGGATATGGGATTGATAAGGGAACCATTGGGTGTGACAAATCAATAGTGTGCAGAGGAGTGGCGGGCAGTGCCCCTGGGCCCAGCAACCAAGCCAGAAAATGGACTAGAGGGCAAGGTCAGTGCTGGTCTCAGCCTCAACTTCCCTCCCGCTGCTGCCAGGGCTGCCCACCCCACAGGAGCCAGCCTCAGACAGGCCTCTCCGGCTCCTGAAAGTCACCCAGGAACGGAAGGGGGTTACCAGGGAGCCATTGGGCCCAGCTCTACCTCCACGTCACCCCCGCACATGCATGGGGGCTCATTAGGGCTACTCCCCAGGGACAGGAGGTCCTCCGCCCTGACTCTCTAATCCCCCAGGCCTCCTGTGAGACTTTCTGCGTGGGAGAGGATGCCAAGGCTGCTGCCCGGGACATATTTAGCCCCAAACGGAGCTGGAAGCGCCAGAGGTACCGGCTGAGTACCCAGACCGAGGGCCTACAGTTGCTGCCAGGTATGGCTCTGATCTCATCCTAGGACTACTGGTTCTCAGGGGTCCCTGGGGCCCCAGAACTGACCCATCGAGGGGCCAGGCCCTTCTCCCCAGTTCAGGCCCAGTCGCCTCTGCCCCCCCTTTCCCCCCAGGTCTGATCCACGTGCACAGGCGGAAGATGTTCCAGGCCACAATCCTCTCAGTAGAAAACCTGCAAAGCAGCAAATCCACGTGAGGAAAACTGCTTGCCCCAGCCTCCTGCCCTGTCCTGGCCCCTCCGTGCCCAGACCCCGGTGCCCTCTCCTCCTACATTCTCTCCTTGCTTCTCCCCTCCACGATCCCTAAAACTACTCCCTGTCTGCACCCACAGCCGGGCCACAATCCTGGTGCGTCTGGATACTGGTGGCCAGGAAGGGCTACAGTACCAGCCAGGGGACCACATAGGAGTCTGCCCACCCAACCGGCCTGGCCTCGTGGAGGCGCTGCTGAGCCGTGTGGAGGACCCGCCGCCACCCACGGAGCCTGTGGCAGTGGAGCAGCTGGAGAAAGGCAGCCCTGGTGAGGGGCGCGGGCTGGGGCGGGACAGCGAGAGCCTGCACCTCCCCCAATCAGGCTGGCCTTAAGCAACCAGCCCCGTCCCCAGCGCCCCACTGCTGGTGCTGAGCCAGCCGTGCCATCCTTGCCAGGTTGGCCTTGTCACTGGGTGGTTCACAGCCCCCACCTCCCACACCACCAACAGGTGGCCCCCTCCCTCTGGGATCCTTCCAAAGGCTCCCCTGGGGCAGTCCAGCTTGCTCTGTAGGTGGCACCGAGGGGATCTCTGCTACATCATACCTGGGGTTAAGAAAGCTTGGGGGCACTGGGGCAGAGGAGCCCGAGGCCCACTCAGTCCAGCCAGGGGTCCCTCGAACACTGGAGACCACCTAACCCTAACCCTAACCCTAACCCTAACCCTAACCCTAACCCTAACCCTAACCCTAACTGGAGACCACCCAGATAGGCAGGTTCTCTGATGAAACATGAGGCATGGTCAGTCCCCAGAAAGCAAACATCAGTCCACATGATGCAGACGGCCTCCTCCTCAGAGTTCCCTGTGCACCCCCTCCCCAGGTGGCCCTCCCCCCAGCTGGGTGCGGGACCCCCGGCTGCCCCCGTGCACGCTGCGCCAGGCTCTCACCTTCTTCCTGGACATCACCTCCCCACCCAGTCCTCGACTCCTTCGACTGCTCAGCACCCTGGCTGAAGAGCCCAGCGAACAGCAGGAGTTGGAGGCCCTCAGCCAGGTGGGGGCCCCATCAATCAGAAAGTGGGGACTAAAACGCAGGATGAGCTGGAGGGCGGGGGTCCTAGTGGCAGGAAGCCCCAGTGTAAGGTACTCCCTGGACTTTCCTCTCCTGGTTAACATGTACTGGTGCTTTAAGACCCAACTCCAGGGTGCTAACTCGTATTTGGAGCCTAGGGTCTTAAAGAAACACTTTTGGCGTGCACTGAGGCGGCAGAAAGCCGAAGGCAGCTCAGCTGAGAAGGGGCCAAGGAGGTTGGTTGGCAGGCAAGGCTGTGAGGCTCCTAGCCCATTGCATCCTGCCCTGCCAGGACCCCCGGCGCTACGAGGAGTGGAAGTGGTTCCGCTGCCCCACGCTGCTGGAGGTGCTGGAGCAATTCCCGTCCGTGGCACTGCCTGCTCCCCTGCTCCTCACCCAGCTGCCCCTGCTGCAGCCCCGGTACTACTCAGTCAGCTCGGCACCCAGCATCTACCCAGGAGAGATCCACCTGACTGTCGCTGTGCTGGCCTACAGGACCCAGGGTGAGGCTACGTGCAGGGCGGGTCTGGCCTCAGCAGAAGCGGGACAGCCCCTCACTGGCCTTTCCTCCCATCCCCTAGATGGGCTGGGCCCCCTGCACTATGGAGTCTGCTCCACGTGGCTGAGCCAACTCAAGGCTGGAGACCCCGTGCCCTGCTTCATCAGGGGGTAAGTGAGCCCTGCGGGAGGGAGAGAGCTGTCGAGAGGGCGAAGTGAAGGTGCCACAGGCATGGCTGGGGACACAGGAGGAGTCAGTGGGGGCTGCACAGGGCCAGGGTACTCACTCTGGGGGGAGGGAGGTGCTATTGGAGGCATGGGGGACCCCTGTGACACGGCAAGGATGGAGTGTCGCTAGGTCGCTTCAGAGCTGATGGGGACTCAGGGCCCTGTCCTCAAACCACAGCCCTGGAGACAGCTGCGATCCCATCAGCAGGTCCTCTTGCTCTTGAAAGCGTGGTTTCCATGTCTCCCTCTAAGTCCTGGGCTCCATCTGAATGTGGAAAGCATGGCCTCTGGAAACAGTGGTCCCTGATTCCCCCTCAATCCAGAGAGAACGAGCCAGAGCAAAGATCACTCCTGGTCACACCGATATGGACTTGGGAGACCCGGCCCTCGTGTTGTGTCCAGAAGTCTTACCTCTGCCCCGGCAGCCAAAAGTCTCAGGTCCCAGGATGGCACCTGCTAGGCCTGGTCACCCAGACCCAGCCAGAGGGCTAAAACCGTACCAATCAACTGAATACCAGCCAAATGCCAATACTGAGGCCATTGTTTAAAACCAACACCGTCAGTGAACCCATTGTAAACCAAAGTCTGTCCCTTCCCCTCACCCCCATATTTCCTAACTTCTCTAAGCTGAGCTATACAAGTATTCTCCAAGCCGGATCGAGCTGTTTCCTTTGGCCCAAGCTCCAGAAACCAAAGATGCAGGGAGTTGCCGCTGGCTGGCGGTTCTTTTAACAAACACACCATGCTTATACCACCAGCCAGACCCTGTTCTAAGGCCTTCAAAAGTATGGACTTCCTTCTCGGTGGAAACTGGGTTCTCCTCTCTGCATCCCGCCTGCCTGAGGCTGGTAAAAAGGAGGAGAGTGGGGGGTGGGGGCTCTGCTCGAACGTCTCTTCCCTAGGGCTCCCTCCTTCCGGCTGCCACCTGATCCCAGCTTGCCCTGCATCCTGGTGGGCCCCGGCACCGGCATCGCCCCCTTCCGGGGGTTCTGGCAGCAGCGCCTGCATGACATTGAGAGCAAAGGTGAGGCTGGGGGCGTGTGGTGGGAGGGAGTCACACCATCTAGGGACAAAGGCAGGTGGGGAAGAGGCCAAGGAAGCCACAAAGGTGAAGAGAAGCTCATTAGCACAAAGGGGTACCTGGGGGGCCAGGGCTGGGCCCTGTTTGGCTTCCTGGTGCCTGATGGAGGTTGGGACGTGACACAGGGTGCTAATGAGAAGCCCTACAGGCGAGGGACAAGGAACCAGGGAAGCCGCAGGGCCTCTGTGGAAGCGTCCTGCACGCTCCTGGAGGCCCAACAGCCCAAACAGCGGATGCTTCAACTCAAAAGGTCAACCCGGGCATTGGGTGGCCAGTGGGAGGCATTGCCGGGGCCGCGCCCTCCCAAGCCGCCTCGTCGCCTTGCAGGGCTGCAGCCCGCGCCCCTGACTCTGGTGTTCGGCTGCCGATGCTCCCAGCTGGATCACCTGTACCGCGACGAGGTGCAGGACGCCCAGCAGCGCGGAGTGTTTGGCTGCGTCCTCACCGCCTTCTCCAGGGAACCCGACAGCCCCAAGGTGCGCGACTCTCAGGGCGCCGGAGGGACCTGATAGGGAGAGAAGGAAGGAGCGAGGCGGTCCAGCTGAACGCGCCCGGCCCCGGCCCCGTACCCTCTGCTCCTGCCCAACAGAGCTCAGACACCGCGCCCACCCAGCTGGCGCGCCCGGCCCCCGGCGGGCCGCCCCTCGCCCCGCCCCGCCCCCTGCTCCGCCTGCCTAGACCCCCGCTCCGCGGCAGGCAGGCCCCCGCGCTCACCGCGCAGACGTCTCACACACCACGCCTGCCCCCATCCGGCCTCCCCTCAGACCTACGTGCAGGACATCCTGAGGACCGAGCTGGCGTCTGAGGTGCACCGCGTGCTGTGCCTCGAACGCGGCCACATGTATGTCTGCGGAGATGTCACCATGGCAACCAGCGTCCTGCAGACGGTGCAGCGAATCCTGGCCACCGAGGGCGACATGGAGCTGGACGAGGCCGGTGACGTCATCGGCGTGCTGCGGGTGCGGAGGGGGCGGGGCCCGAGCCGGGGTTGGGGGCGGGGCCCGAGGCGCGGCTCGGACCCCGGACTCGGGTTCTGATCCGCTGAGCTTCTTCCCGGCAGGATCAGCAACGCTACCACGAGGACATTTTCGGGCTCACGCTGCGCACCCAGGAGGTGACAAGCCGCATACGCACCCAGAGTTTCTCCTTGCAGGAGCGGCAGCTGCGGGGCGCGGTGCCCTGGGCGTTCGACCTACCCGGCTCCGACACCCCCGGCCCCTGAGAGCCCCCCCGGCTCTCCACACTGGTTCCCAGAGAGAGCAGGGCCGGCCAGCGCCCTCCCCTCCCGAGTGCCTTCCCACGTGTGCGGGGGCAGCTGCTCAGCTTTCTTCCCCCAGGAATGGGCCAAATGCGCTCGCTCGCTCCCTCTCGCCCCTGGCCTGGGCATCCCTAATCCTGGTAGGCCCCTCCCAGCAGCTGTATGCCAGGGCCTACTACTACCCATTAGGTGAAGTTTAGCTTCCCCTTCGTTTCTCGGGAGTGTCTTACCCTCAAAGCCTAATCTCTAAATCATTCAGATATTTATTATTGTTGAAGATTTACGGGAAGAGACTGTGCCAGGTGTTATGACAGCCACTGACGCCTAACCCCAGCCCCGGTGAATTACAATTGTAAAATCACAACTTTTGTGTTTTAACTGGGACTCATGGGGGAGTGGGGAGTCTTTGCCGGGGAGCGCCATGTACTCCATGTGACCCACGGTGTCCAGCCAATCGTGGGCAGCTCTGACTGAGAAAACAGGTGCAGCCCTCAGCCGCCGGGGGGTAGGGGATGCCAGAGACTACGTCCCAAAGAAGTGCAACGCAGCCAGAAGCAATCTTTACTGCTTGTTTCATACAGGAAGAGGAGCCGCACCCACTTCCTCAGACATCGGCCAGTGCTGAAGTCCAAAAACATCGGCCCTCTCTACTCTTTCCACTCCCAAGTCCCCATGGGAACCTGAGGGAGTGGCAGCATGAAGAACCCATTGCCCCCTTCTCTTCCACTTAGTGTGGCCTCTGCCCTCCACCTAGAGGATGCGCAGAGACTTCTTCCCAGGTTCCCACTCCCGAGGCTAAGCCCCGGGAGAGGCGGCGGGGCGGGTACCTCCTTAGCTCCTCCACGCGGGAACCACCTCACTCCTACCCTTTCTCTGATCTCTGGGGCGAGCTCCTCGCTGACCCCCAGGTCCTTCCCAATGAAAGCATCCTGGGCTCTCATCAGCCGGGGGCTCTCAAGTTGGCTTGCTGTGCCCTTCCGCGCCACTCCGCGCAATCTCTTGTGGCTGGAGAAGCCAGGGAACCTGGGGGAGAAGGCTCTTGGTAAGAAGTCCAGGGCTCTGGGTTCCAGAGATGACTTCCCCACCACCCTCAGTTCCCACCACTATCCCCATCCCTTTTCGCTCCACCCCCTGCGTGGGCCATACCGACCTGAGGAGTCCTCTCATTCAGGGTTAAGGGCCTGGCCAGGCTCCTTCTGGGTGTCTCTGGTCTCCTGAAACCCTTCAGGGAACAGCTTCCTAGCCCTCTGGGTCCCCCACTGCTGTCTGGGGCTGGAGGCAGGACTGGAGCCTGGTGACAAAAGCCATCAGCTGGGCAGTGCCACAAGGCCCAGGGTCCATCCAGGAGCGCCCTCTGCCCGCACACCCCCACACACACACACACACATGTTCCTCACCATCACTTGACCAGGATGGCTTTTCCTCGTCCGGCGAGGCTGGCTGGGAGGAGCTGGACCAGGGCCTGGATGGGGACGAGGCTTCAGCCTCCCCCCACACTTCCTGCTGTTGCTGCTGATGGAGCTGGATGGGAGGGAAAGGAATGAGGGGCTACCCCTGCCCCCAGGGGCAAGGCCAAACCCCCTCCCCAGCTGGGGGCAGAGGGCTTTTATACCTCCTCCTCAAGACTCCAGGCCCCATTTTGTCCACCTGCTTCCTCCCGCCATGTCCCTTTCTGGCAGCCCTCTGCTCACCTGGTGCAGGTAGATGGCATGGAGACCCATCTCAGCAGAAGCCAGCTCTGGGAGCTGGGCCAGCTTCTGGCCCCCACTGCCTCCTGGAGACACACAGCTAGAACACAGGGTGTGATAGGTCAAAGGGCAGGTCGCTCACATCCCAGAGGGAGGGCCCCTCCCTCCCAAGTCCCCCTCACTGCCCCAGCTCCCTCCTCCCAGGACAGTCAGCCCCTCCCCTGACTTCCCTTGCGTCTGGGGCCTCCGCCTCTCACCTGGGGTCCTGGGCGATGCGGGAAATGGAGGCAAGGAGGCTGGCTGTGGCAGCAGCCGGGCACGGGGTTGTGGGGCTCAAGTCCCTCGGGGGCAAGAGGGGGTGAACCAAGAGGTTGGCCAGGAAGGCCTCCGGCTGGCAGCAAGAGAAAAGGGGAGACAGAGTCAGAAGAGAAAGCAGAGAGAAGAGGAGGTTCAAAGAAGACTGGAGAGCTGGCTGGGCTGGGCCAGCAACCCATTAATAGGAAAGGTGAAGGCGGGGGGAGGGGGGTGGAGGGCTTAGGCGCTGGAGAAGATAAAAGAGCCGGCCAGGCCTGGGCCTCACCAGAGGGGAGGTGCAGCTGCTGAGCACTCCTGGGGTGGGGGGGCTGCGAGCCGAGGTGGTGCCCCAGGCAGCCGCATCTTGCTGAACCCGGCCACGAAGCTGCCCGAGGAACTTGGAGCTGTGCCCTGGGGGGCGCCATTGTGGGTGTGCCAGGGAGAACCGCATCAGGGAGAGCTCTGTCTTCCCATCCTCTGCACGCTGAGACAGTGAGGCCTCCGTCTGGCCTTCCGAGAGCCACTGCGAGCAAGGGCGGACAGTCAGACGCTCAGGACCCTGCGCCCCGTGAGGGTCGGCAGGGCTGAACCCTGCCCCGCTTTCCACAGGAAGGAAACGGAAGGCTGTGGAGCAGCACGGGGGGCCAGGTCCAGCTCCGGGGCACAGCCAACCCCAGGGCTTCACCCACCTGTGCAGACAGGGCCCCGCGTGCTGGAAGCCGGTGCTGGCTCAGCCCCACCCACTGCCCTGCCCCCTTTCTCAGCCTCTCTGGTACCCTCGGCTCCCATTTCCTGCCATTACCATGCACTGCATTGGCATCATCTCACGTGGGCCTCACGACAAGCTTCCAGAGGACATTGGGCGCAGGAAAGTGAAATGACTTACCAGCTCTGCTTTGGGTGAGGCAAGCCCAGCCCAGCCCTGAGCAGCCGGGGAAGGACTCTAACCTGAGGATGGCCGTGACGTTTCACATCCATGAGGGCAAAGGAACAGATGTCCCCAACCCCAGCCACGTCCACAGTGAAGTGATGGAAAAAGTCAATAATCTCCAGCGCACGAGGGCGGAACCAGAAGAGCAGAAACAGCGGCGTGAGGAGAGGGGACAGGAGCTCCTCCAGGAGAGAGACCTGGGAGAGGGGGTAGGGGCTGCGTTAGGGCCCGCGCCAGTCATCAGGACCAAGAGGCACCCAGAGACAGGGCAGAGCAGGAAGCCTCCAACCCAGACACTGCCTCGGCTCCCCAGAGCCAGTCCCAGGCCCCTCGGTCCCGTGCCCTCTCCCACACAGACCCCCACCCCCACCCCAGGGACTGCGTCGCCTCCTGCGTGTGGGCGCGACCCTCACCGCTCGGTATTGCAAAAGCTGCGCCATCTGCCGGTAGGCGCTGGCCCTGCCGCCAGCGCCTGGCTCCTCCGGAAGGTAGTGCATGTGGGCCAGAGCCGCCTGCAGCAGGAACTGCGGGGCACGTCCCTGGCACTGCTCTTCGGGAATGAAAGACCTGGGGGGCGAGATCCAGGGTGGGGAAGGGGGGGTGCCGTTAGGAGGATGTGGAGGCGGGATTTAGGACTTGGGGAGCGCGCGGGCAGTGGGCTCCAAATCAGAGAAATGGGCATTCCCACCACCATCCCGGACACCTGGCCGGCGCACCTCGCCACGGTGGCCGTGACCCCGAGCGCGGTCATAGCGGTGAGCACGTGCTCCACGGCGAGCACGTCCTCGTCGTAGACGGTGAGCACCAGCAGCGCGGCGAAGAGCGCGCCGGCGAAGAAGACGAGCTGGCGGGCCAACAGCGCGCGCAGGGGCGCGGGGGGCGCGGCGGCGCGCAGGAAGGCGGCGGCGGGGCGGTAGGCGCGGGCCAGGCGCGCGCGCAACTCGTGCGGGAGCTCGTTAAAGTGGCGCAGCTGCAGGCGGGCCAGGCGGGACCAGCGGCGCGCCCCGAACGCTCCGGGCTCGCGCCGCAGCAGCTCCACGTGGCTGTAGAAGGCGTACAGCACCTGCCAGGCCAGCACCAGAGGGCTCAGCGCCAGGTTCACGGCGGCCAGCAGCAGCACCGTGCGCCCCCAGCGCGCGGCCAGGGCGCTCCGCTGGTCACTGCGCTTGTAGGCGTCGGGCAGCTCCCAGCCCCCGCGGAAGAGCGAGAAGGGACCTCGGAAGAGGAGCAGGTCGACGTTGAGCGCCAGGCCGCGGCTGAGGAAGGCCGCACTGCCTCCCCAGGGCAGCGGGCAGCGGGCCGGCAGCAAGCCCTTGTTGGCAAGCGCCACTTGGTAGTTGGTGTAGCGCAGAATGCGGTGATGCACATCCAGCTCGGTCAGCGGCCTCGGCTGCACGCACAGCCCTCCACTCCTCTGCAGTGCGAGGAGGCGGGACTGCACCTCCGCCCATGGCACCGAGCTGAGCTCTTCCTAAAGGGACAAGAGGACTGCTGAGCGCCAGTGGCCCCGTTCCTTTCCGCTGTGATACCGAAGCTCCGCCTACAAACCGCCACATAAACTCGCCTTGGCCAAAGCTCCACGCCTCGTGGCCCCTCCGCCTTTCGCGTTCTGCACTCCCCTAACCCTGCCACTGACGCTTGGTGCGGCTGTGCCTGCTCATCTGAATCGCTGTCCCCAGCCCTGCCGCTCCTAAGGTCATGAGTCTTGTGGCACTTCCTGTGACACCTGCTTAGCAAACTCTCCAGGGGTTCCACCTGGCTTTTCAGCTCCTTGAAGGCAGGGTTGTCCCTTGGGCCCCACCGCCGCCGGTCATGCCACAGACAGAACGGCTGGCAGTTCTGGGGGCGGGCAGTGGAAGGGGAATCTCTCCCCGTTTACAATGTGTCAGCCGCAGCTGGACCCAAATCCTCACCACCTTCTGTTTAGGCATGTTTTCAGACTCCCAACCCCAGCCTGCTCCAGGCAGTCTTGCGGTCTGTTCCCAGATTAGCCTTCCTAAGACCCTGGCTGGGTCGGCGCTCGGGGGTGGGACGCTCCGCCAGACCCCATCTGGGGGAGCTGCGAACCTCATTTTTAGTCCACTTTTGCTCAGTTCTCCCAGCCCTGGTCAGTCAAAGTCCCTCGGGGTCAGCCTCTCCAGCTTAGCCCAATGTCTCCCTTCCCCTGGAAGGAACCGGACAGACAGGAGGGAAAAGATGGGAGGAAGAGAAAGAGAAGATCGACAGCCTCCTGGAACCGGAGGCTCCTGCTTTCCCTCTCTGGGCTACGCTGGCCTCCCGAGACTCCTCCCCGCTGTGCCTAGCAGTCCCCTCCTGTCTCGTGCACCTTCTAGAACCTCCCCTCTCCCAGTGCAGAAGGTGCTGCTCTGGGTGGGGCAGAGCAGGGACTCTGTGCCGCAGAGCTGCGCTTGAAAGGAGGAGGAGCAAGGTGGAGAGGGGAAAGACAGGGCA